ATCGGAAGAATATCCTCTTTTGACCGTTCCGCGTAATCTAGATGAGCCCTAAGAGTCAACCTGTTTTTCATTATTAGTATCTATACACATATTTATGCGATAAATTTCACCTGAGATATTCTAATTAAAGTTCTACAACAATTTAGAACTTTGGACAAGAGTCCAGAACTGTTGTGGCAATGACTCACTGATTCAGCGATTCTTGCCACTGCAGAGACTGTCAAACCAAAGAGGTCTTCACCCTTCAAATATCCAGGAAAGAGCTGCAGCATTTCAGAATCCTTTCTAACAGAAGCAACAGTTTCCAAGATTTTATCCCACACACCTATGTAACCAAATGGAAAAAGATTATAATGAGCAAATAAAGAAAGCCCACACACACAGCACTTATACCTAATAAATAAGGAAACCAAAACAGGATACCTGAAACAAAAAAGACCACAGGTACCAGATAGTTAATTTTATAGTTTAACTTCATTAAATGAAATATCCTGCTTCACCACAGTGAAAGTTTGAAATGGAAACTCATCTGAGCTCTGCTGAGTAGACATACAGACAGTGTTATATTTCTGTTACACTTCTCTTGATGTTGAGGAATGTGATCAATACTGAGCACTGGATAAAAAACTTCTCGATATTACAAATTTCTACTGAGGTAAGCAGGCAACTAAGTTTCTCTTGCTAAACATTTTTAAAATCACCACAAAGTAAATAAAGCATCCTAAGTAAATGAAATCTTCCCCTTCCTTAAATGGATGATTTTTCTCTCTAAGGGTGTATCTACACAGCACCCAAAACTCAAAATAAGATACTATAATAGCTTATTTTGTCATTTGGCGCTGTCTACACAGCACTATTGTGAGCCTTCCCTTACTCCTTATACAATGAGGTTTACAGGGAAGGGGAAATAGCACGCCCGCTATATTTTGAAATAGCAATCATGTTCAAAAGACGCGGGGCAGCTATTTCAGGATACCTCTGTCCCTGATGTCTCATGGTGATACAACATGTTGTGATGACTGTAAGATCTGAGTTTGAGACGCTAGCTCAATTATTTCTCATCACCCAAGAATTGCTGGGGATGCTGTAAAGACAAGCATGCTTAGCCAAACAGAATAACTTTAGTTCATTTGGTAGGACACTCTGGCAAGTTTTCAGGAGAAGTGTTAATAGACTAGAGAGCGCATCTTCGAGCCATAAAACAGATGCATCTGGCAAATGGGGATGATAGGACACGATGGTGGCAATGGAGCAAGCATTCTCTCAGCCCCAAGTATCCCATAGCCATGAAGATCCTTAATGTCACCAACCACATGCCTAACAAATATGCCCCATTCTTCTATCCAGCCAATGCTCATCACCATCATCTGAGCTCAAAGGGGTCCTATGCAGTCATTCAGAGCCTTGAAAATCTATCAATTTTCTTGGACATGCATCACCACCCTTGAGATTCTGCACAGCAGTTCAAGAGTAGTTAGTCGGGCTCCCTTCATATGATATTTTTACTTTCATCAGGGTCTGAGTGCATGGCTTGCTTCCAGTACCTCCATGCCCAGAAAGTGACTAAAACCAGGAGAGGGATCCATGTCTAGTACCATGCTCCAGAGCTGGCTAAACAGACTTTCAAATATGGGTCCACTCTGAAAAGTGACTATGTAACATCAACATCTTAATTTGACAGATCTGTTGTGTGTGTTTATGCAGACTCAATTCTATTTTGGTGACAAAAATATTCCTGTTAGCCCTAAAAAACTACCATGGCTAAGACTGAGTGAGCTTGATTCTATTATTATTTGTAAATTATGGATAGAACAGTTTAGTAAGTTGCCCTTGCAGGCATAAACAGATAAAAATTGAGTTGCATGGATGTAAATATCAGGTGTAATGGCCAAGTCAGAAAGGAATCAGCTTGACTCTCAGAACCCAGGATAGGTTTTGTGCAGCTGGAAAAAAACTCATGTATTTTTACTTATAGCATTAACACATCTGATCTTTACAGCACTGAGCCAGAATGAAAATAGAACCCCAAAGGTCATATTTACAAAGTCACTTTTCAGAGCAGAAACACAAAATATTTTTCTTATTTTATCCAGTGTGTGTGTTGTGTTATTTTGGCTTCTTTCTTAGCTTGCTGCAAGTACCCTTTTTTCTCATTTTATCTCTAGTTCACATTACATTTTATCTATCTAGAACAGTAATTCTACGTCCCCCATGACTATCGCATCTCAGGGTATGTCTACATTTGCTGCCTATTTCAGAATAGGGCTGCAAAATGTAGGGATTCGGAATTGCAAATCAAGCCCGGGATTTAAATATCCCACGCCGGATTTGCATCTTCCTGGCCAGGCGCCATTTTTGAAATTTACAAGTCCAGAATAACTGCCCGTGTCTACATGCTGCAGTGAAACGGACGTTCGAAATAAAGCCCTATTTCGAACTACCTGTTATTCCTCCTGAAATGAGGTTTAACAGGTATTTCGAAATAGGGCTTTATTTTGAACGCCCGTTTTTCACTGCCGCGTGGAGATGCGGGCAGTTATTCTGGGCTTGTAAATTAAAAAAAAAAAAAAAAAAAAAAAACACCAAGCAGCCGTCCGGGAAGATGCAAATAAAGCATGGGATGTTTAAATCCCAGGCTTGATTTGCAATTCCGAATGCCTACGTTTGCAGCCCTATTCCAAAATAGGCTGCAAGTGTAGACATACCCTCAGAGGATTCATCTTTGAAATGCACAATACTGAGTAAATATAGTACAATTCATGGTGCTAGAAGTACATCTTTGGCCTATTGATATAGCAATTACATTATACAGTAGAATTAGCAAAGAATTAGGCATCAGATAAACAATTTTTAAATTCTAAAATGGAGATCTAAATTGTGAGTCCCAAGTCTTATATTACTCAGCATGTAATAGAAAAATAACAAGAAATCTGCCCAGGAAAACAAGTGCACGTAACATTTGTGTGAACCATTTACTTTACATAGTAAGGAAACTCTATAGTCATGAAAGCCTTCTGTTGAGTTTGCATACTTCTTGTTTACCTTTTGGTGTTGAATCAGTAAGAACCAGATCATCATGACCATGCTCAACAATCCTGATCACAAACACTGGAAAGCCATCCTTCTCCTCAATAGAACACAGATAGCGACACCGCCTGTTTGCATACCGCATGCTCCAATACAACCGGCTGGCCTCGTATCCAACAGGGAAGAGAGCTTTTGAAGAATGGAATGCCTGCATCTGTTGTGGCAGCAGCTGACCAATGGTGTGGAAGATCAGGCTTCCTACACGGAAAGTGTGCTCGCGTTCTCCCCGCTGTACTATACTAGCAATCTGCCGTACCTCATCACGTTGAATGTAGACCCTCCTGAAAACTGCAAAGTAACTAAGTTCTTGCTCATGAGCTCCCTTTGGTTTGTGCATGGGGCAAAGCATGGTTTTGTCTTTAAAAAACATGCATTGTGCTTTAATGGCACAGGTAAAGTGATAAATATTGGTGCATCTTAACCTGTGACAACTGCTGGTGGCACCCATTTTGTGACAGAACATGCATTTCATTTGCAAGCCTCTTCGCAGTGCTAGTTCCACGTTAATTAAGGCACCAGCCTGTGTCTCATAGACCTCTGTAGACCAAAGAGCACAGTTCAAATGGACCCAAAGGTCTAAGTCAAGGTTAAGAAGCCTTGCTGGTCCATCGGTTAGTCCATCACCCTCTTCATGACAGAAGCAACATTTTCTGTAGTCTTTAGGCACAGGGTCAGGTTTAAGGGTTGTGCCCAGTTTCTTGAGGAACTCATCTATTTCCTCTTCACCAGGAGGTTTGAATGATCCTTTAGGAATCACAACATGAATGCTCCATTTTTTCCATTTCATTCCTCTCCATTTCTTGCTTAGAGGGCGACAATCATCAAGGCTACTGTGTATTGTTTTTAACCTAGGTTTTAGCTTCACTGTTACTTTAAGCTCATCTGGCTTTGCTTCTACCTTAGCTGCTTCAAATGCAGGAGGAAATGTGATAGGGGGTGATGAAGGCGGAGAAACTTTTTCTTGCAGCTGAGGGAGACAATGTACATCTAATGTGGAAATGTTGTTGTTGTACTGATGGAACGGTTTCTGGGTCATTTCTTTCATCGGTGACTGTGCGAATGATGGAAGTGAGTCCTGAGAAATATGTAGAAAAAAGCCTCTTTACAACATGTTACAAAATAAACAACAAATACCTCCTAATAATGTTTCCAGGTTAGAAAGAAGAGAAGGGAAGAGAAAGTTTAAGGTAATTTGTCAAGTTGCTGTGCCATAGGACAAAATAAGTTATCTTGATTCATTGGTACTGTGGTATGTTGGGCAATATTTTAATAGTTTTTCAGCTTTATTTTACTTTTGCTCCAATAATTCAAGAACATGGCTTCTTTCCTCTCTCTCAACACTCTGAAAAGTGAAATAGCAAATGGTTTAATTGTCATTCAATAGATTTACAATATATTTATTTTTAGGAATCTTCAGACAAAGTTGTATACAAATCTCTAAATATGAATCAAAAGATAAATTATCAGATAAGGAACTAGTAAGATAGTAGAAAAACATAAAGGGCTGGGAATTAAGGAAGTGTATTTTTTATGGAAATCGGTGAGGAGCGATATCTTGCAAGAACAAACATGCTCTTAAAAAGAGTCAAATTGTAACACAAAATCTACATTTGCAGGTGGACTTCAAAAGAGGGGCAGGATTAAAACTCAGAGGTACAGTAAAACTCCAATTGTCCGGCACTCCCAATAGTCTGGCACCAACTAGAACCCGGAAGTGCTCCAGTGAGCTGGTCAATTGGAGCTGCTCTGCACTGCTTCCCCACGTTCGCTGCTAAAACTGACCAGCTGCGGACCTGGGGAAGCAGCACAGAGCAGATCAGCTGGGATGCTGCCAGGTTGGTCCCGCAGCGCCGCCCCTCGCCCCACTGTTTGGTGCCTGGCAGCACCCCAGCTACTCTGCCCCACGGCTTCCCCAAGTCCGCCGCTGCTGAAACTGACTAGCGGCGGACTTGGGGAAGGGCGGGCAGAGCAGCTGGGGTGCTGCCCGGTTGGTCCCGCAGTGCCGCCCCTCATCAGCACCCGGTTCACCCCACGCCACGCCGTTCCGCCCTCCCCGACCCGTCACCACAGCCCCCCTGCTGAAGTACCTTCTGATACTCCAGCATATCCGATACTGATAAACCAATAATTATATTCTCTATTCAGTTTGCAGCAACAATAAATAAGCAGATAGAGTGCTGTCTTATATTAAGGAGAGAATGTTATATGGCAAATCTAGAGATCATATGCAAACACATTATAGAAGTAAAAATTAAATTTGTGTGTATATATATATTTGTATTTTGTTTGTTTGTTTTTGTAAGCCGCCTTGAATATTTTAAATAGAAAGACAGGGTACAAATATTTAAATAAATAAAATAAATAAGTATAGTATCTAGTTTCATCCACCTTTTTAGAAAAAAAAAAAAAGAACTGGAAAAAGAATAAACATCAGCCTAACTGAAATGATAAATAATTTGAAGGAATTTTACCTTAAAGTGAATGTGGCTACACTGACACTGCTTAAGTCTTCAGAGAAGGCAATTTTACCAGGACGTAATTAAAGCTTTTTTTTTTTTTTTTTTAAACTAACATTACTGAAAAATTAATCTGGATAATCTAATTTAGAGTGTTGAATAAAAAAGAACTTGGGGATATACTGAAAACATACATTAAAAAGGACACACATACCCAAAGAATTTAAGATGATATTCTTAGAGAGTGTGTTAAAGACTTGATTAAACTTCTGTTTGAAGTGGTGGAGGCAAACACTACTAATATAGTCCACAAAACCTACATATATTTATGGAATTTAATAAATTAAAGGATTATTTAGTCAGGTCTATGCTTGAGACCGTCTTTTTTGAGGGAATTATTTGTTGATTATACTTTCTCCCCACAACACTAACTACAGGGATTTTTAAAAAAAGCAAATGGCTTTGCTTTCCTTTGTGGGTTAGTATGGGGGGGAAGAGTAAAGTCTCTATCTGGTTTATTCAAGGAAACGTACACTGAAATTAAGAGTTAAACTATACTTTCCTACTACTCACATCCAAGAATTAAGGGTCTGATCCAACTCTGATTGGAATCAATGGAAAAGTTTCTATTTATTTCAATGGAGTTAGATCAAAACCCTTCTGTTGCAAGATTTTCCCTGCAATGCCCATTAGACCAAGCACAATGTTAGCACATGTACTGGATATATATCTGCAGCAAGGGACCTCACCCCAAACCTCTTTTCTCCTCTCCAAACTAAATAGAATAGGACAACATACAGAAGACTGTCTCTTGAGAGGTACGGAGTAGCTACTGTGAGATGCTCTGTATCCTTCCTAGGAGCCGCAAATAGAAAATGGATTCTTGTGGCTGTCTACAACTGCCAAAACATATGAAATATTTAGATATATAAAGTAAATGGATGAAATTCATTTCCAACTACATGTTCCTGCCATCCTGGAATACACATGAAAAAACTCCTGGGATGTCCATGTTTGCCATCAAATACGTTTCTTAAAACACTATGTAAAATGGCTACTTCCCTAATTATAAACTACTTTTTTCTTTCATTGTCAGTCACCACAGTCTTCATCAATTAATATTTTGGTAATTATTTCTTTAAAACAATCATTTTGCTCAAATGAAAAAAATAGTAAGCATTATTATACATCCTACCTTTTGTGTCAAGAAAATAAAGTGTTCCTGCAATCTCCCTGTTATTTTTTGTACAGTTGTTAATGATTTCTTACTGTGCATAAAGCAAATGAAAATGCAGAAAATAAAGCAACACTTTTAAGGCTTAATGTAATGTTCACCAACTTACAGAAAGCCTTCCATTGATTTCAATGAGAGTCAAAGATTTGGCCCTAAATCTCTGTCAGGATAAGACTGCTGATGTTCTGCCATGAATTTCTCCTAGGTTTAGTTTTTGCAAATATAGATTTTTATTTTAATTCCTGGTCCTTTGCTGCTTCAGAACTTCAATATCCTACTGTAGCATGGCCTCACACTTAAATGCCACTAAAACATAACAGTTTATGGTATTATTCATGTCAAGAATGCTTGGGCAATGGTCTTTATTTAGGATTTTTTTTTCTATTTTATTAGAGAAGTAGCTAATTAGAATGTGACAGAGCTGGGCACTTACCTTGCTCTCTGAGTTTTTTGCTTGCACAGCTGCTGAATAAAGAACAAAGCAGTTGTTGCTACAAAAGACAACATCCTTTTCCACTCTATCAGAGATCTCTCGGGAATCCTGAGAATCAAAGCCAAAAATTGTTATGAGCCCATTCAAGGGAATACAATTTTACAAATTATCATTATTTGTTATACCAATCTTCATCTCTTTGGGACAAAATATACCTCCCTTTTGTAGAATACTGAACACCTGGAGGATCCAATTTTGATCAGGCCTCTGGGCACCATTGTAGTACAAATATTAAACTATGGAAATTTAAAGTTAATAACACCAGTGGTCTTATTCTTTAGCATCTTATGACACCAACAAAAGTGCATTAGAATCAATGCAAAGAATTGTCTGTTTTATGCTCACCTAATTTTTACTAAGAACGTATGCATATAGGGCATTTTTCTTTTATTTTTGAACCACAGAAGCACTTCCTGTTTAAGGCTGGTCTAAGGTAGATCACACAAATTTATCATCAAGTGGTGAATTTAAAATGTAGCTGTGGAATCTGGCCCCAAGTTAAGGTATTTAGATGACTAACTCCAACTGAACTCAATGGAAGTTAGGCACCTAAATTCTATAAAAAAATCTGATCCTTTGTATTCTGCATGAGTGCACATACAATTTATGGTTTTGACTATACAGATCTATTACATAGCATGCAAATGATTTCATTATTTAGATCTCATTTTTTAGTTGGGGGCCACTGACCCACAAAATCAGTTGGGGGCTCCACTCAAACAGAAGCAAAACCAAACAACAAAAATAACCCTCACTGACATGACCCCTGACTGAGAAGCAGAAAGACACCCCCCCACACATTCCCCTTGCACACCAGACCCACAGAGAGGGGTGGGGAGGACTAGAGCACCAGCATGGGCTTCCCAATGCTGGGGGGGAGGGAGAGCCGTGAGCCTCAGGGCCAGATCCAGACAGCTGGGGGCCACCTTCGGCTCCTGGGCCTTAGGTTTCCCACACCTGATTTAGGTAAATGGGGATGGTATTTTTGTTGCAGGCCAGATGCATGATTTCCAGAATTCATATCGGTGCAAATATTTTAACATTTGCATGTAGGCATTGAGAGCCAACAGGGACATGTTTTCCCTAACGTAAGAAACAGAGTAGAAAACACACAGAAACAAGATTTAAATGTGATTAATTCCATTCTGCTTGAAAAGGAAAAATATTATTACTCTGCAATGGCTTCCAGAGTCACTCTCCCAATAGTGCACATAACAGTTCAAAGTTATATAGCCCCCTAAAAGTGATATATCATGGTAGCAGCATTTAAATACCTGTCCCAGATTTTACACTGGAACCTACTTAAGAAAACTAACTGAAAGATTTATATAAACTGTATTTCTGAAATTCTTTGTGGTTTCATTTGGTGACTGAAAATTGTGATAAAAAAACTAAATATCACTTTCCACCACAGTACCTGTTTAAGGAAAGATAGATCTTTGAAAGATTTCCGCACACCACTGCCAAGTACAACCACTTTGCAATGAGAACACCACTGAGGTCTCAGTGCTGAGCCTTCTGCAATAGTTTGATTGTGATCTTTATAACTGGCTAGACCTTTAAAAAAAAAAAAAGACAAGTCTGTAAGAAAACACAGTCAGACATTTCTAAATGAAGCAGGAGTTGAAGTTGCCATATTCTTCAGCAGGTTGGTCTCCTACACTGTGCTTCAGGCAAACTTCAAGATAAATAAAGAAGGGGAGATATTCTTCACTCAGACAAAATATTTTGTAGTTATGGTTTGAATAATAAAGCAAAAAGATTTCCAGTTAATATAATATCAGATTAATAAATAAATAAAAATAGAATAGGAGCATTAATGTATTTAAATGACCATGTACAAATTTTTCAATGGAGGAATAACCTCCCAAATTGGTGAAAGACACATCATTAGAATAATTTAAAATGACAGGACAGAAAACCTGAGAATACCAGCCATTGTTAGAAACAATCCCACACTGGCATCAAAATGGACAAGATAATAATATCATAGGTCTTTTCTAACTCTGATTTTCATTAGTGTGTGAGAACATCAGAGACACAGCGCACAGGTACATGTGCACTGACCACACAGAGACTGTATTATTGAAAACAAGAATCAACTAGTTAATTTTAGTTTGAATTTATACATTTGAAAATTCTCCAATGACAACATGATTAAGAATTCAAACCTAATAATTATAAGAACTGAATGGAAACTAACTCACCATTGCTGTTTGGAGGAAATGGCACATTAGGTTGCTTCAATCCATAAGACCCTACTAATCTGGTGGGGCCTATGGATCCTGCCTGAGGACCATGAAGTAATAAGTGCTGTCTGTATTCCAGAGCTGGATGCATTCTGTGATTGTTTATCATTCCCATGGAGGATGGAACATCTGGGGCATTACTAACTTCGTAGCTGTTGGGAATTCTCACATGCAGTAGATTGGAAAATGCAGCCACGACACTACTAATATTCTAAAACAACAAACATAAATCTGTTTTTATCAATTACGGAGAGTAAGCTGCAAGCATATCAATCATCAGATTATAAGAGCTGCCTCACTATAGTATAACCCACCTTCAAATTAAACTGAACAGTCATTATTTAATATACTACAGAAACACTGTGCTAGAGTTCACATATACATCACTGAAATTTATTTCCCTTACCTCTGCAGCTGTGGGATGTAAAGTAATTGCTACAGATATCAGGCCAGATTTCGGACCATTTTGGGATGGCCCAAGCTGAGAGCCAAAGAAGCCAGAACCAGGTAAAGTTCCTGAACTAGGTTCTGATTTTACATAATTCCTTTTTGCTTCTGAACCTTAAAATGAAATATAATATATATAAAGTTAAGTGGCATGATTTTGAATGGACAGAAACCAGCAATAAGTATATAATCCATTTTACTCTTACCTTTTCCAGTACTGCTGGGTAGGATTGGAATGATGGGAGATGATACAGGCTCCGGGGTTTCTTCCTTTACCAGAGACAAATCTGGATACCTACTTACTTCCATTCCCACCACACTTTCAGGAGAGGAAGAGGGAACAAAGCTGTCAGGAGTGTCCCGGTCATCACAGTGATCTTGAACCCTGGGAGGAAAAACCAACTACAGCTTTAGAAAATGCCTTGTATATAAACTAAATGAAGGAAATAGGTGGATTGTTGGTTGCTAGCAACAATTTTTGTGGCATTTCACCTTATTTCAAGATAAAACTACTCTTCTGGGAAAAACAGACCACAAAATTGTGATGTTAATCAAGCCATGCCCTACAGAACTATCCTACCAATAGTTCACGCCAGCTTTAAAAAAAAAAAAAAAAAAAAAAAAAGCCTAACCAATACATTTCATCTGTGTTTGCAGAATTTTGATATTCTCATTCTTATGAGATACAATTACGCTTCCTTTGTAGTCACTTGTTCATCACATGAACATGAAAATCAGTGAAACAGAATTTAAATGATCTATTAATATCAGATTTGTTTTTAATTATCCTCCTCCAATCCCAAACTAAAGGCAACAATGGCCTACAATCTTGAGATACTTTCATCTCAGCAGATTTGCTGTCTGTGATAAATGTAGATGATGAAACCACTATTCTGCTCTTGAATGTCTAGGAGATGCTAGCTACGCCACTCTTCACAGGTGCAACATGAAAATTTCACTAAACTCAATAGCCACAAATTTGGATGCACTGGCCTATGCAACTGGATTTATAAAATTCATCTATGCATGCATCCATCCATTGTGCCATACAATCTTTCATCTGTATTCATTCCCTGTAAAGCACGATGGGGATTTGATGCAAAGACAGAAGTCGCACAGAAAGTCTGTGCTGGAGCAGGGAATTGAACGCAGGTCTCCCAAGTCTCAGGCTACTGAACTAATCACTGGACCATACTCTCTCATACATCCAATGGCAGTAGTGCCTCCAACTTGCTGTGCTTCCAATAAGGTAGAGAAAGTAATGGAAGGAAGAGTCTTTGCAGAGACTCCTGCTGTACCCCATGGAACACCTCTCCACAGTGATTCAATTTGTGCCTGCAAGGTAAGGGAGTTTTGGTGGACATGAACAGTGGGATTTATGACTTTGTGGATCCTCTGTACAGAACAACCCATTGATATTAATACAGCTGCTATAGCAACCAGCCTGCTGCTGTGTGAACCCAAGTAGTTTCTATAACATGTTTCCATTTTTGGTCGAGCAAAATAATGAATATTTGACAGCTGAATAGGCCACATAGTCTAGTAACAGTGGAAGTCTTCCTTTTAGTGGCACAGAAATCTCAGATATGGAATACTGAGAGATACCTAGTACAAATAATGCCATTTTCTTCTTTTCCTGGTGTGCTCCGGGAAGGTGTGCTCCCTCCTCTAATGGGAGACCCTCATGGATCTCCCATTTACATGGGCTTGCACAGGGTAGAAGGATCTGGGCCCAAACAAACAAACTTCACATTTAAAGGGAAAATTTCTACCTTAATTCTTCCTGATTGTTATGAGGTGGTGTTGGAAGTGAAGCAGGAACATCCACAGTTTTAGGGCCCTGAGCCATAGCTCTTGCTAACAAATCATCTTGTGGCCTGAAAGGTAACTGGAACTGTTTTGGTCCAAGCACTTTGGTAACTAAAACAGAAAAACACAGCACAACCAAGTATGCATAGGTCTGTCTTCATACTGATACACATTGTAAGAGGCTGCTAGTTGCATTCTAATATGATTAATGTTGCACATCAGTTTTTAATCTCTATTTTGTGGTGTCGCTCGTAACTACAAATTTTTTCACTTTTCACATTTCAATTATGTGTGTACGTAGATAAAACTCTTAAACAACTGAAGCAAAAATGGTTCAGCAATTTTTTATTTTAAGGAAAGAAAAATATTTTTTCCCCATTATAAAGCACATTTAAGCCTTTCCTCCCCTTCTTATGTAGCACCCAGTGGCTTATGTAGCACCCATATGACAGGCTTATTTCATAAAAAATCTTCAGGAGAACAATTGACAGAAAACTGATTTTGATTTGACCAAGTTTTCCGTTAAAAACATCTTCGGAACAGTGTCTCTAGATTGGCACAGACGCTTTTCCGCAAAAGCACTTTTTGCTATCGGGGCTTTTTTGCGGAAAACAAATCTGAGCTGTCTACATTGGCCCTTTTGCGCAAAAGTTTTGCACAAAAGGACTTGCCTAATAAGAATAAGAACAGTAATTACTAATAAGTTATTAATAAATATCACCCAAGTTATTAATAAATCTCTTATAAACCTCTACCTTTTCTCTCTGCTGCCATGTCTCCTCCCCTTGTTCCATCAGCTCCCCTGGTGCCTGCTGCCTCCCAACCCCTCACCCTCCTCTGATGTCCTGACTCCTGCCCTTCTCACTGCCCTCAGCCTTCCTGAGACCTACCCCCTCCACCAGACCTTATCACCCCCCTGTGCCCATTCCTCCAGTAGCCCCACTCTGATCATGTGAGCTACCCCTCCCATCCCCTCTTCTAAAACCTCCCTCTACACACCTGCCCTGCCTCTCTCCTCTGGTGCTGGTCCCTCCACTGCAGGTGTCTGCCCTTCTGCTTCACCCCCAGAATTCCTTGGCACCTGCACCTTCCTGGTGCCTCCTCCTTCTCTCACTGCCCCTGCCCCCTTTTTCCCTGATACCCACCCCCTCACCACCCTCAGTCCCTGTTCCCCTCATGCCTCTGTGCCCTCACAGATGCCTTGCTCCATATCCCCACCTTCCTCATGCCCACCCCTTCTTTCAAGCCTTCTCCCAGCACCTCCCCCTCTCCCCTCTAGCCCCCAGTGCCCTTCCCTCTCCTGTTTCCCCCCTCCCACTGACACCTCCCTTCCTGCCCTTTTCCTCATTGTCTGCACTTGGCCCCCTGACATTTGTCTCTCCTGCACCCCTGTCCCTTGGTACCTTCCCCTTTCTTCTTCTCCTGACTTCCTCCCCTCCCCTCCACATAAGCATCTTCCCCATAATTTTACTCTCCCTTTCCCTCCCCACAGCCCAGCCCCTTCCCCTCCCCCAGGGCCAGCTCTAGGTTTTTTGCTGCCCCAAGCAAAACATTTTTGGCTGCCCCCCCCTTTTTGTTGTCTTTTACATGTTTGCATTTTGTAATGTGTTTCTTTTTATTCCAATCTAGTTAATGTGGAATAAAGATGATTATCCATTCAAGGCTCCCATTCTTCTCCTGTTTTGTTATTTTAAAGGATGCTTTGTACTTAACTGAGCATAATGTCCAATGTGGTTGTACTGTGTTAATTCAGAAAGATGCAGGCTCTGAAAAATGTGACAGATCTTCCTGGATTGGTTTAAATATCTCTATCTTAGGTCTCTTTTCCCTTTATATGTAAACTGCCCCTCCCCTCCAGTTCTTACAATGTCATACACTTATGGAGAAGTGTGACTTGCAAAACTACACACTTGTATGCACACACAAGACATGAATCATTTCACCCACCACAGGAGAGCAGACACTTCTGATGTGGAATGTGGCAGCTGGTTTAGTAGAGCAGTAAAACTCAGTTCTGCAAACATGTGTGCACATGAGTACTTTTACTACCTTGAGTAAAGGTATGTGTCCTTCAGCATTTGAAGGCTCAAGCTCTAAGAGATTATTTTGGTCTCATAACACTATTTGTTAGTGAAAGCAAGAAGCAGGTAGCAAGTTCTTTTTGTTATTTGCTCATTGCTGTAAGAGCTACAATAATTTTCAATGTTTTCCACACTTGAAGTAGCGGGGCCAGGTCACGCCAGCGTCTTGGCATCCCGCCCCGCCTCCTTGCGCCGGAGCTGCACGCAGACAGCCACGTGGCAAGAATCACCGCACTTCTCCCTTCCCAGCGGTGCTCTGCTCCTCCGCCGGCCGGCGGATCGGATGGGGATGCGCTGCCCGTAGTGTGGGCTTCGCCCTGCCCGTCACAACGGCCCACTGGGCTGGTCCGCCCCTGCACTCGCCAGCTGGTAAAACCTACTTGCCACAGGCGAGCGAGCGTATTTGTCTAGCCCTGCCAATATGATACACCTTTTAAGGAAGCAGCAGACTAAAAGCTTACCATCATGTCCACCCAGCATTCCAGCTTTTCCAGCAAGTTCCTCAGTAGTTGCAAATCCATTCACCATTTTTTGACAAGCTACTGGCGGTGGTGTTGGAGGAAGAGAGGCTGGGGGTGTTGGAGGATTACTCAAATTATTCTGCTGCATGAGATCAAATGATTTTAAAAATTAGCTTTCAACAGGTAAATACAATAAAGATGCACACTTTCAATAAAAGGTAGCTACTTGAAGGTTTTAACATACAGAGGCAGCACCTAATATTTAAAAATTAGTATCTTCTTTCCCAAAACACAAAAAAATAGATGAAAACACCTGCTACAAAACTACTTAGTATACAAAGATATAATATATTTTGTAGTGTCTGGTACAAATTTAAAGATCTTGTTGTAGGAGTGAGGAAGATTTGTATCTAAGTCTTAACCAGGATTCTACAAATTCTGTCTAGGGAAAAACTCGGTGAAGACTCCAGGATCTTTTCGGAGCAGTGTCTACAGACATTAAACTTTATTATTGGTTTCTGAGTTCACCAGCTGTACTTGCTGGGCCAGATTCTTAGCTCAGTAATTCTGGTGTAAAACTGGAATATCTCAGATGGTCTTCATAAAATCATTCCAATTTTATGCTAGAATAAGGGGGTGCCAAATCTAGTCCTCTGTCAACATTATTTCTGTTCTCTCAATGTTACCTTTCAGTCCACCAATATCCTGAGTTTTAAATTGCTTGGGCTGTTAGATCCTCAACAAACAGATTATTTTGTTCATAATTTTTAAGTCCTTAGTCAGGGACTAGTGGACAAATGATGAAAGTCTCTTTCACAACTAGTTATTAAGAAATGCTTTGCTACTCTCAATGACTGTGTAAAGCACTGGAAATTCAGACATTTCTGTTCCAGAAAGCTTTAACACAATTTTCACCAATTATCATCAGTTTGCAATTGCAGTGCTTGTATTTCTTAAATTTATTTACAACATTATTTATTATTTGCTTTCATGTTTTGAAGAGCAAAACAATTAATACATCACAGTTGAATGCAATATAAAGACTAGCAATAGCAAATGTCTCCTTATTAGCTGTGGAGAAGGAGAGACTCCTAAAAGATAATTAATATGAAAAATACCTTTTACCTCATTTCTTAGAGAAGATATAGGAAACCTAGATGGAAAAGCCTACCTTGTAGATCAGCTGGGAATAGTAATCAGAAACCCCATCAAGTGTAGCACTACCAAAACTTCCCATAAGTCGATTTCCACCACTTAGCTGGCCACTGCCATAGGGGAGAAAGTGTGCAAAGCTCACTCCAATTATTGGTTCCATTAGAGGCAGCAGAGAGAGTTGCTATAGGAAAAAATAGATACAGGTGAATACACCAAATATAATAGAAGAAAGTATCTAGACAAAACAGTAAAGTTTCCACAGTATTACCAGTAGAATGGTTGCCACTACAAAGTCTAATAGTCTCTAAAATACACCAGAGTTTCCTTATATTTATTAGAGTAAGAAATAAGATTGTAATTTGGCAAAGGATTTACGCTTGTGGTGACGGACTTTAATCAGAATTAAGGACATATAACATGCAGGGCCACATTATGACTTTTGTGGGCTGTAGGCGCTTTTGCCTTTGTGGGGCCCTCCCACCATAAGAATATCAATATTAAAAAAAATTTTTTTATATAACTTTAAATACTTCAACATTTTTTTTTCCTGTTTTAGGCAAAATTTAATAGATTTTTGTGGGACCTAAAAATTTCATTTTTTTCTGATGTGAGAAAAAAATTAAAACATTTTCTTCGATATTAAAAGTTCATTTTTTTCCTTCTGATTTTAAAAGAAATTAAAACATTTTTGTGGGCTCCTAAAAGTATCGTGGACCCTAGGCACTGTGCCTAATGGATAAGTTGGCCGTGATAACATGTTAGCTTTAATTTTAAGCATGTGCTCTGATGAATGGGAGCAAAATTTCAAATATTATATGGTAAATATTGACCTTTAAATGCTAACCACGATACACAAGCAGAGAAAAGCTGGTCTGCATGTTTTGTTAAGCACAGTCTTCCCATCTATGAAGTGAAGATGATACTAATCTTTGTAAAGTGGTTTGAGATGAATTGATCAAAATTACTACAGAAGAGTTAGGTAGTATTAATTATTATTATTAAGGTAAGATAGAAAGTTCATAAATTTGAAGTCAAGATGGGGGGAGGTTTTAATACCAGGTGCAATATGACATTCATATCCTAAAAGGCTCAAAACTAGAGCATGTCAGAAAATTTCCAAGGGAATATTGTTCTAGTGAGAAAACACTGATTCATGAAAGTCAAAACAATTCTCAGAGCTTGCTGGTTCCTGGCCTGGAAGAATTTCATTTTGAAGTTATAGAGAAGAAACATTTTGATTGTAGGAAACATTTTTTTTCTGATTTTATGGATAAGTTTGAAATTTGTAGGTTTTGTTCTAAGTTGGAATGAAAACAAATTAAACAAATTTCAAAATCCTTCATGAAATGGAATTATTATTCTCCACCCAGCTTGACTCCTAACTCAGCATAATTGTGAATCACTTCCCTCCCACCCCACACCCACTTTGAATCCATTCTCTTAAAGCTATTCCAGATGGTTGTACATTCTCTAAACTCTCACTTGTTTGAGTTGGATAAATGTATCTGTGTTAGGATAAATAGCCTGTTTCTCCTCTTCCTCTTTTTTTCTCTTCTTAGACCGAGGGGCTGCCTTCTCTCCAGTCCTCTGAGTTCGTTTATTTCGCTGTTTCTTTATTTCATGTCCTACATCTGTTCTCTGAAGCTGGCTGTTACCACATCCAAATACACCTTGCATTTGATTCCCCACAGTTGGCTGATGAAAAAAGGAAAGTAACATGGGATGCATTTGTTTAGATCCATTGTATTTTCACCTTATTATTAGAATTATTTTTGTTGTATATTTCTAATATAAATAATGATTATTACAGAAAATAGCTGATACTTTCCTGTGCATTATACTAATCAATAGAATACATTCGACAGAAGACAAAAAATTGTAAGTTTATAATTTGTTTATCTTGACACCCCACTGACAATTGTAACTATGTATTGAGTGTGAAATATAAGGTATGAACTATATCAACTAAAACTGATGCTTGCAAATGTCCTTAATTATAAACCAAAAGTGTCTTCTGAATGTTTGCTAAAATATACCCTTAATTAGGGGTATTCATTAAGGCATAATAAACAAAGAAATTACTTCAAGAACAATTCATAAAGGTTCGCTTATTATAAATATATTCTTAGATGAGTCGATGTGGGTTTCTGGTTAAAACTAACAATTTTGTTTTGTACCAAGAGTGCAAAAATAGTTTTACAAAAATATTTTTCATGAAGTTCAGAGGGACCGCAAGAGACCCCGCCGCTGAACAGGCTACCTGGTGAGAGTGAGTACACTCACTTTTGGTGTGAGTGAGTTTGCTCGACTGTTTGAACTTTGTTTGTTGAATTCTGATTCTGATTTCTGGTGACTGCAGTTTCAGTTTCAGCTGCTGTGGCAGTTGGGACTGAGTATCTGACCCTTTCTTCCCTCAATTGCTCTCTTGATTGCATCTGGTCAGCCTTCTCCTGTATGATTCACGAGGGGGCAGGCCTGGCCTAGGCAAGCAGGCTTTAAAAGCCAGAGGCAGAACCACCAGGGAGCGAAAACAGACAGGGGGCTGCAGACAGGGGAGTTTGAGAGGGAGGTTGACAGAGGGAGGCCTACGATGGTCAGGAAGTCCCACAACACCTGTGCCAGCACCGCTTCTGTCTCTTCCACCTGTGTCTGTAGCCAGACAGAACACCTGAGCATGCCTCTACCCAGATTCTGGTGTGGTTTTGCAGGGACTGTGGCTTGCAATTCCCACTTACCGATATCCAGGCTGGAGAGATCATCCAATGCGAAAGGTGCCTGTTGGTGGAATCTCTCAGGCAGCAGGTGGAAGAGCTACAGGAGGACGTGGCTAGGTTGAGGAGCACCCAAATCCACGAGCAATTCCTGTACTGTGTTCATGAGGAGACAGCTGAGGTAGCTGTCCCAGTACACAGGACTGTGGACACACCACTGGTGGAGGAGAAGACGGCTCAGGGTGGACACTGGCAGCTGGTTACTTCTGGCAGCAGGCACTGCTCCACCCCTGCTCTGAACCCTCCCGCCGTGGTACTAGAAAACCGTTATGCTCTTCTTTATACAGGAGATAAGAAATCACCCCCTACACAGGAAGAAGATAAGACCCGTGCCCTCAAGGCTGGGAGGTCTGCTGCCAGCACTGCGAATAGGAAATGTAGAGTAGTGGTGGTCAGAGACACTCTTCTGAGGGGAATCACCCCCTGCAGCAGAGGAGGAGAAGCCTTGTACCCCCAAGGCTGGGAGGTCTGCTGTCACCACTGCGAATAGGAAATGTAGGGTAGTGGTGGTTGGAGACTCTCTTCTGGAGGGGAACGGAGGAGCCCATCTGTCGCCCTGACATTTCATCTCGGGAGGCATGCTGTCTGCTGGGGGCCCATATCCGAGATGTTACGGAGGCATTGTCAAGGATTATCCAGCCCTTTGACTACTACCCCATGCTACTCATCCATGTGGGCACAAATGATACTGCAAGGTGTGACACTGAGGAAATCAAGAGTGACTACAGGGCTCTGGGAGTATGGGTGAAGGTCTTTGGAGCGCAGGTGGTATTCTCTTCGATCCTTCCTGTTGAAGGTAGGGGCCCAGGCAGAGACAGGTGCGTCCTAGAAGTGAATACCTGGCTGCAAAGATGGTGTCAGCAGGAGGGCTTTGGCTTCTGCAACCATGGAATGCTATTCCAGGAAGGACTGCTAGGCAGAGATGGCATTCACCTTTCAAGGAGGGGGAAGACCGTATTTGGACACAGACTGGCTAACCTAGTGAGGAGGGCTTTAAACTAGTTTCAACGGGGACAGGTGAGCAAAGCCCACAGGTAAGTGGAGAACATGGAGACGGGTCGGAAATGGGAGGGAGCATGGGTTATAATGGCAGAGAGAAAGGACGATCAGGGCAAAACTGGGAGGCAAGGTCAAATCAGTATCTTAGATGCCTATATACAAATGCGAGAAGTATGGGTAATAAGCAGGAAGAATTGGAAGTGCTAATAACTTGGTGGGATAATACACGATTGGAATGTTTGCATAGAAGGGTACAGCTTGCTCAGGAAGGATAGACAGGGAAAAAAGGGAGGAGGTGTTGCCTTATATATTAAAAATGAACACACTTGGAGTGAGGTGGAGATGGACATAGGAGACGGAAGTGTTGAGAGTCTCTGGGTTAGGCTAAAAGGGATTAAAAACAAGAGTGATGTCATGCTAGGAGTCTACTATAGGCCACCTACGCAGATGGAAGAAGTGGATGAGGCTTTTTTTAAACAACTAACAATATCATCCAAAGCCCAAGATTTGGTAGTGACGGGGGACTTCAACTATCCAGATATATGTTGGGAAAATAACACAGCGGGGCACAGACTATCCAATAAGTTCTTGGACTGCATTGGAGACAACTTTTTACTTCAGAAGGTTGAAAAAGCTAGTGGGGGGAAGCTGTTTTAGATTTGATCCTAAGAAATAGGGAGGAACTGGTTGAGAATTTGAAAGTGGAAGGTAGCTTCGGTGAAAGTGATCATGAAATCATAGAATTCATAATTCTAAGGAAGGGAGAACAGCAAAATAGAGACAACGGATTTCAGGAAGGCGGATTTTGGTAAGCTCAGAGAAAAGAACGGTTACTTACCTGTAACTGTTGTTCTTTGAAATGTGTTGCTCACGTCCATTCGAAGTAGGTGCGTGCACCGCGTCTTTCGGAGTGTTTTCCCTAGCGGTACCCATAGCGCCGGCAGGGCGCCCCCTGGAGTGGTGCCGCCATGGCGGGGCATAAGTACCCCTGCCAGCGCTGCCCCACCTCAGTTCCTTCTTACTGCCGTGATGGTCGTTGGAGCATCTCTCTCTCTCTATCTGCTTAGGCTTAGATAGTTAATGGTTCCCGTTTCTCACATTGTAAATAGTTTGTGTAGTTAGATAGTTAGGTTCTTTGTTTTGTTCCTTCCCCCTTGGGGGTAAGGAATGCCAGGGCCACAAGGCTTCAAGGCGAGTGCTGACTGCGGGAAGTTTATGCCCAGGGGCGACCCACACGACAGCTGCCTTAAGTGTCTGGGTGAGGCTCATCTGGCAATTGCCTGCAAAATCTGCAAGTCTTTCAAGCCCCGTATGAGGAAAGAAAGAGTTTCCTGCTTGAAGCTTCTCCTTATGGAGATGGCGCTTCAACCGGTGCCACCGGACCAGCCTGTGGTGCGCAGCGCACCCG